GGTGACCCAGAAAAATGTCCCGCAGGATGATGACACCAACATGTGACTGCTGATGACTCAGCTGGACTCAGTCCCCAAGAGAAAGCAGTACCGGTCTCCAGGCTCCACCATCCCCATGCTTCATGCCCTGATCCTGCCGATGAACCATTCTGAAAGTAGATTTGTTGTGAATACTGTGCACCTTGCTCATGTCATTTTTGTTATTCATTTTAGCCATATATAAATGGATTCGTTTTCTGCATGGGCTGCAAAGGGAATGGCTTAAGATGACATTTCCCTCAGTTCTGGAGTCTAGACATTTAGAACAATGTGTCATCAGGGCCACACATTCTCTTGGGGCCTAACTGAGGGGCCTTCCTCATCTCTTCCAGTTTCTGCTGGTTCCTGGCATGCCTTGGCTTGTGGCTGCATCCCTCCATGTGCACCACCTACCACTGCCTGGCCCTTGTTGCCTCTTCTCTCTGCCAGCTGTCCTGCCTTTTTCCTACAAGAACACTTATCATTGGCTATAAGGCCACACGCATCACCCGTATAACCTCCTCAAGATCCTTCCTTTAATAGCTTCTGTAAAAGCTTGTTTCCCAAACAAGTTAACATTCCCAGGCCCCAGAGATGTGGGGTGGGTGTATCTTTTTGGGAGAAGGGTATCACTGAGCATCCCACTTTAGAAAATCTTGAAAAAACCCAAGCGTCAACCTGGAGAGGCCCTTGGTAGTTTAATTCAGCATTTGCTAAGAATCCCAGGGGGCCTAGGGCCTCTATGCCTGTGGTTTCACCTAGGTACCACCATATACCCCAGGACCTTGAGAGAGAGAAAGAGGCCAGGATCATGATGGAGATAAGAAGCCATGGTGTGGTATGTCTAGGCACAGCTGTGCCATCGATTAGTGGACACTCTCCAGCCACTGCAGGCTCCTTGGGAGTGTCCTTTCACAGATACAGGGACTGGCTTGTAGCCTCCAGAATGCCAACCTGTTCTCGCCTATGTCAGGTCTTTAGATTTTTGTTTGTTTTGAGACAGTGTCTCACATATCACAAGCTAACCTTGAGCTCACTATGTAGCTGAGGATGACCTTGAACTCATGGTCCTCTGGTTCCACCTCCTGGGTGCTGGGATTATAGGAATGGGTCGGTACACCTGGCTTGTACAGTGCTAGGGATTGAACCCAGGGCCCCTTGCTCACTAATCAAGCACTCTACCAACTGAGCTGCATCCCCAGCTCTCATCTCTGTCTTTATTGTACAGTCATAAACCCCACCACACATCTCTTCAGCCTGTGGGGAGGGGGCAAATAGGGTCCAGGTGGCTTATTATGAAGGACTCCAGGTAACAAGGAATGAGGGGTCTGCTCATGACTCTGGAACTCTCCCCCTGGGGAGCCTTGGGCAAGCCTCTCAACGTCTTTAGCCTCAGCTCTCCTTTCCTTAATCGGAAGCATTAAAAATATACATCAGGGGGCTGGAGAGATGGCTCAGCGATTGAGAGCACTAACTGCTCTTGCAGCGGACCCAGGCTCCATTCTCAGTTTAGCTCCCTCTTCAACTCTTGTCACTTGCTTTC